CTCGGTTCCCCGGAGGCATCGTTAACGGTACTGCTCCCCCAGTACCACGCAGCCCTCATCACGATAACTCACAATTTGGCTTGGAAAGCTGGTCCGCGGCGACAGTTTTTACCTCATCGGTTATGACTGCCGCTAACCAGACAACTCCACGCCGTCTGGTCATCCTCCTATCCGCCACCCGGAGACGCGCTCGATAGATGGCTCAATCCACGAGGTGATATCAGTTATTACAATAAAATGTGTATGCAAAGAAAGAAGTAGTAAAGATGTAGATCTCATCCAGCTTAGATCCTTTGAAAAATACTTTTATTGCTATGTACTCTTAAAGATATAAGAAAGAAAATTCTTTGAAAATAAGCTGTTTTATTTTGCATCCTTATTATTTAGCTATGAGGTCCTTTAATGCTGGTCGATTTTATTTTTTAATATACCTGCATAAAATAAATAAAATAATTTCGGACTTTTTAAAGATAGATTCCCTCACACGCTTCTAGATATATTTAAGAATTGTTTTTGAATCTTGAAATTAAATCATTAAATTTATTTCTTTTTCCTTGACTTCTAAATTTCTAATCCTGAATTTATTATCTTCTCGCTATCAAAATATCTAAATATACTTAATGTTTTACGAATAATTCTTAAGAATTAAATGCTTACACTCAGTTTCGTTGGTGAATTTCTGGTAATGATCAAATAACTGTCTCGAGTTGTAATTGAGAAGGAAGAGCCGCTTATCGTCTTGAAGATTGTAGATATAGTCCAGAAATACGGAGCCAAGACTTGTAGAAGGAATGGGTAGTCCGAGGGCGGCCGATAATGTCACCGCAATATCGAGTTGCTGAACCTTAATCGGAATTTTTAATTCAGTGTCTTCATATATACACATAGTTCCTCCTATTGTAATAATCGGCACTGTTGTTTCTTCCGGTGTCGAACCGCCGTGGCCGCCAGAGTCTTTTATTCCATGATCGCCGCAGACGATGAAAAGTGTGGGTTCTCCATCACCATTCTAAAAATAAGTAAATAAATAAATAAATGATATAATTGTATTATGCTATAAATAAAATAATGCAATATTAAATTTCTTCTAAATAATATGTGTAAACTATTTTTACATACTATATTCAGATAAAAAGAAAAAGATTACAAAGCAAGGATTAAGATAATTTTTCAAATACTAACCCAATTCTGAACTTTTTGGGCTATTTGAGCGACAATTTTATCCATTTCTTGTAATTTAGGTTTAATTGACGGACCAAATGGACCTTCTACGTGACCAATGTGATCTAGTCCGAGATAATGAAGAATCATCACATCCCAATCATCATTACTCAACTCATCTTGTATATGTCGAGTCACATTATTGTCTACCTGTTTAAAATTGAACAAACAGTCAATCTCCAAAGAATAATCTTATTATGAATGACAACAGCTTATCACATAACTTATTATCTGTCCCATTTATATTAAAAATCTTAAATATTTAATTTTATTTTTGATGATACAAAACAATGTTTTAGGTAAAAATGGAATGATTTCAAGGGCGACATATTTTGATCACGTTCTTTTTTTTTCTAGGTGGAGGCGCTAAAAATATATGACAGACACTTTGTTTAAATTATATCACTTTTTTAAATATAATTCGTCTAATTATTCTACACATAAAAGTAATTTATACTTTTTCCATTTACGTGTGGACCACTCTGTATAATACATTAATTACCTCTGTAAAATCTGTAACAAAAAACGAAGTAGTACCATCATGACGATCAAATATATTGGGAAATAGAGAGAGCCAAGTTTCGTCTCCATAAAATATTAATTTATACCCATGTGTCTTTGCTTGAGATAACAAATTGTCCGTGTGCAGAGGTTTACTCCCAAAGTTCAGTATTACATCTACAAAGTTTGGCACTGTACCAGTCATCATGGCCTAATAAATAAAAATTCTTACAAACTGACTTCGCAGCGTAGAATATTTTCGAATAAATTATTAACAAAATTGCAGCTTCACTTTTATTCTAGGCATCGTCACTGTTGGTGCCTGCAATTTAGCCTGTATCAAGCATCCGTGATCGTTTGTCAGTATATCACTCGTCAACGGCATGGCGGTTTTTCCTATTGGACCCGCAATAAAGTCCCACCTTAACCCGTCGATCACCATAAATATTAATCTCTTTATCAACGGTTTGTATAATAAATCTGTCTTTATTCTAAAAACAATACACATAACAATAAATATTTTGAATTGAAGTATCAACGTATTCAAGATATATAAATATATTAACAATTATTTAATTATTAAACAAGACTCTTTCTCAAACTTGAATATAGGTTTCAATTTCCTTAATGTATTAATTAAACCAAAATTATATAACTCTGTAGATTATCGATAATATTTTGTAACGTTAGAAAATTGATATTAACATGTTAAAAAGTTAAGAGAGTAAATTATATTTATTATTTATTAATGTAATTATTAATTATGTGTCTATTTATTTTTTCCATTTTAAAAGTTCTCTTCAGTCCTAATAAAAATTTTTCTCAGAATTTTTATACAAATTCAAACATTCCATAAATATTGAGAAAATCTATTTTTTCTTAGAATTTTTTGTATATGTGAATTGTGAAATATTCTAATTTCTTATTCTATAAAATATCTTAAATTTATTCATGATTCATGTACTCAAAAATTATAAAATGAGATATCTTAGAATATTTTAGAATTCACATATATAAAGAATTCTAGAGAAAATGTAGATTTTTCCAGTACTTTTGAAGAATGTTCCAATTCATATAAAATATATTTCTGAAATTTTCTAAAAAGTTAGAAAATTGTTCAAAAATTTTAAAATTTACATAAAAATGATGAGAAATTATATGAAGGATTCTGAAAAAAATTTCTATCAAGAATAAGATGAAGATAACATAAATACCTTCGACCTTTACTAAGTCGAAAGTATTTATCTCATGTAACAGTTTCTTCTTCTACTTATTATTTTCTCGTTACTGATTGTGTCACATTTCTTATTTCCCTGATAAAATTAAACTAATTCTTAAAGATAAAATCTAATCTTTCTCTTTTTTCCCTTGCACAATCTTAATTTGGTTAACTTACCTCAAGTTACCGATGTATTCGGGTATATTCGAGTTCGAGGTGCTCTTATGTTCATAATGAGTAGAATTGAACAAAAAGCCACATAAGAACAAAGTAATAAAGATCAGTGCAATCAGCAATATATAGAACAACAACAAATTATCTTTGGATACTTTTCGAAAGTCATAATAGTCTCTTTCGCGAAGCGCACACCGCTCCATAACTTTGGCAAGTGCCGGATATCGAACCACATCGAATGATACGAGAATATATCGAAATTCGATTCTTGCAAATATTCGATCTTTCGATTAGTTCCTCCGCGAAGGATTTAAAAAACTTCTGCCATTCTACATGCCTGGAATAATATCGAGTAAATTAATAAATTTTGCATAACAGAATTTTCTTTAAATTGATTAAATTAAAAAATCGCCAGCACTACATCATTATAATACTAATAAATCTTTTTATATTTTTTACATAAGTAATTTAAGAAAAAAACTCACTAGTATGTGTATACGTAAAACGAATGTGATAATAAATAAAATATAAATACAATCAACAAAAGAATTAACTTAAATAAACAGTTAAGTAAATAATGAAATTCAAAAATTTTTGGCAATATAGTTTAAAAGTGCGTATCGATATCATTATTATACGTATTAAATTGATTATATCAAATTATTTATATTATTATTCTAATTTCAGTTTAAAAGTGCATTTATTCAAGATTGACTGCATTTGAGCACAGTTTGAACTGGAATATGTATATAAATTCAGAAAATCTTATTAAGCGCCAAGATATTCTGTACTTCTGACTTTATATATAGATTTAATATTTACTCGCATATAGATTTAATAATTACATAATAATATTAGAACTGCATTTCTCGCGCTATTATAAAATCAATTAAAAGAAATTTATTTGCGCAAAACAAAGATAAGAGACATTTATTTTTTTTGTAATTAGTATATAATTTTTGTACTTAAATTATTTACTTAAACTAATTAATAAGTTTTTTATTCCTGCCTTATAAACTATTAGATTTTTCTTTTTCGCTTCCACCAAATATTATACATGTAGGTCAGTGTATTTATTCACTTTAAATTTCAAAATACTAACTAGTTTAGCTGTGTACCAATAAAGGATCAAATCCTTGAGTTAAACAATAATATTTTATTATTTTTAACTTCTAAATGTGTCAAACTGTATTATTATTTTAATAAAAACGTATCATTGAAAACAACAATCATATCTAATCAATCTTTTTATATTAATTTTAAAATACTTAATTTTAAAATAAAGTGTTCATATTAACATACAATTGCAGTAAATAATAAATTAAATTTGCGTCAAATTAATCGAATCAAATTAATAATTAACATCTTGAATTAAATTATTTATCCATTGTTTTAGTTAAATTAATAACATAATAAATAAGAATAATGGCAATCGATAAGAACTATGATTAAAAATAATTGAAATTGGATATAATTTAACATATATAAATAGTATAATAAAAACAGATCTTACCATATATATTTAAAATGTTGTGAAAGCGAGAAGGAAAATAATGCAAACCAGTACAGCAATAAAAAACAAATCTGTAGCCGGTATTTAGTAGATTATAATATTTGAGACTGTCTTAAGATGTATAAGTTAATCAGAGGGCTGCATTAATATCTTAGACATACTTAAGACTGTCTTAAAATAAGAATGGATCGTGAATATCGTACCTATACACTAAGAAAATTTTCCCTCGAAAATCGCACGTGAGGGAGGCGTGATTTCCATACGTGCGACGAGAACTGTCGCGGCCACAAGCTCGGAAACGAGTCACCACCGATCAATAAGTGGAGGTGGACTGTTGTGTATGTCGGTCTACGCGGCGCTACGTAGCGCTCCGCTGGTTTAGCGGGGCTCATTCGCGAGGCGTTCGCGCGTGGATCATGCCCCGGTAATTTCCCCGCTGTCCCGAAACACCGTGTGTGTCCGCGGCTCCTCGTCCGTCGGAAATTAAGTGAGTGCTACGATTCAGCGCGAACTCGCGTTCATGATCTCTTCCTCCTGGCAGTATCTCCTCGACATGTCGCGGCTGATCAAACGTTTCCGAGGATGCTCTCGGGTTCCTCGTTCACCTTAATTGGGTCCGCGAACTTCATTTCAGATTGAACGAATTTAATTGTTTCTTTTCTGCGTTATCTTTTGGCATTGACCTTTGCACTTCTGTAAATAGATATAAATGTCTTTCAGTTTCTTTACAGAAATTTAATACTGAAAGGTGGTAATTAATTACTTGTTATAAATATTAAAAGTACTGCTTTCAGTATTTTTAATACTCAAAACATGTAATTAATCACTCAGAACTTTTAGCACTTAAAATAAGTAATTTTCACTAAATTAGATTTCTGTAAGGGTCCTCTCTCTCCTTTCCATATTCAATTCTTGAAATTATAATTCTTCATTAAATTGTTAAACAGAAACAAATTACGAAAAAAAATCGTATTCTTTTCAATTCTCAACACTTACAAAATTCTAATTTAACACTAGTTAATTTAATATTAAAAGATAGTGATTACTTATTTTGAGTATTAAAAGTACTATAATTTAGTGCTTAATAAGTAATTAATTATTATCTCTTAGTATTTAATTATTACCTCTTAGTATTAATTTAAGGCATTAACAACCAACATCTTGAGGTAAATATTTAACTTCCCTTTATAATTAATATATAAATTCCCTTTCCTGGGAACACAATTAATATTCCTTTAAATTTTCCTCAAACATTAAATCACTAGCTATTTAATTATTTCCGGAAAAGCGTAAATCGTATGAGTTTTAATTGAAATTCTTCATACTGAAATTGCAATCCTTATTGAAGCGACGTGTCAGTCCATACGGTAAACATGTCAGCTGCTAATTACAAAATTATTTACGGCAATTTACATTTCTTTTTATCGCACACTTTTTTCCATGCTTGTGTAACATTCGCGAATTAAATAGATCATTTCAGCGGCAATGGCATCGCTGGAGGACAGCTGGAAAGAAGCTACGGAGGGCCTGGACGCCGCGGTCTGTGACTCCTGGTTCACGCGCCTGCAGGAAGTCTACTCGGAGGAAAAACGCACGTACCACAATCTGGACTCGCTCAGGGAGAAGCTGAATCACTACTACGAAATCAAAAGCAATCTCAAAAATCCGCGAGCTGTTTTGCTCGCCATATTCTTTCAAAAGTGAGTGCGGTGGCTGAATGCAACAATAAAATAAATTTTAGCAGCATGATGGTGTTACTTATCGTATTCAGTATTTTATTATTTAATTGAATTATTATATTGTCGCTCTTTCATCGACAATGACTGACTTAAATCTTCTGTTGCAGCTTCGAATATGATCCTAAAGCTTTGGTTTTTAGCGAAGATAAAAATCTCGAGCACTTCAATGCTTTTGCTGATGAGGCCGAAGTTCCATCGGTGAGTAAACAGTTTGAATTTATATTGGTTAATTTTTTACAAGTTTTAAGCGTGATCATCACCATAAAATACTGAAAAATAGAAAAAAAAATAAAAAGAATTTTAATTATAACCGTTTCAAAATTTAATTGTTAATATTTTAGAGCCGAATAAAAATGACGTAAAAGAAAATAAAGGCTCATCATGAAATTTTAATATAAATTATACACAAAGAAAGAGTTAAAATATTAAAAACTAGAATAAAAAAAATTTTAATCATAGTTTTTGTAAGATTTTGTTAGTGAAGTCGAATAGAGATGAGACAAAAAATGAACATCTATCATGAAATTATAGTATCGATTATTTTGTGAATTAATAGAAGAATGTCAACATGCTAAAAAAAGAGAATAAAATGCAAAAAAATGAGATAAAAAAGATGAATACCTAAAATCCATTGATTATTCACAAAAGTGATCTGGCTAATTTTATCTTTCAGGACGCGGAGCTCAGGGAAGAGACTTGTGCTCTGCTCAAAGTAGCGGCGACTCACAGCACCGAGGCGCACAAGGTAGGCGGTGCCTTCGGTAGCGAAGACGCACACTACTTCCTGGACCTGGATATGGCAGTACTCGGCTCCTCTCCAGAAAGTTACGCCGAGTACAGAGAGCGAATACGCGGGGAATACTCTTTCCTCAGCGAGCCCATGTACACGGCGCTACGGTTAAAGGTGAATCCACCCCGTTCAACCCTAAATATGAACGACAGAAATATAATCTCGATGAACTTAAAAAAAAATACGAAAATTGTCCCAATATAATAATAATAATAATAATAATAATAATAATTATTATTATTATTATTATTATATTATTATAACTATAATTTCAATTATTATAATAATGATTAGAACATACTTTAATCTTCTTTTAGCTTTTTTCAAAGCTTTTAATAATAATTCAATAAAACAAGCTTTAATAATTACTGTAATTATTATATTAATTAAACAATTAGCATAATAAATTGTAATATAACAAATAAATAATTGTATTCCGAGATTAATTATTAAAGCTTATTCCATTGGATTCCGTAAAAGAAGACTCAAGTATTCTCCAAAATTATCTAGAAGATATTATGTAAAAGAAGTTTCTTAGTTTTTGAAGAGAAGTGAGTATGTTAATCGAGGACAGAATTATAACATGTTACTTTTTTTCTTTTTCTATATCTTTATATAGATATATTATTTGTGAAATAGAAAAGAATTTAACGCAAATAAGATAAATAAAACAGAGTGATTACATTCGTGTCATTCTTTCACGTTCTTACGTCTTTCAGGTGTTGCAGAACTTCCTGCAGATCCCAAACATCTTCGCCACCGTGGAATTTCGTGACAAGCTGGAGGAGCAGGCACGCCAGAACATTCAAGCGGAAGTGGAGATGCTGTCTTAGAGCTTCATCGCTTTGCTTCACATAGGCTGCTTTCCTTTTAGAGAACACACTTACAATACAAGCGTCGTTTTATCCTCTTTGGCATTCAATGAATAACAATGACAGAACGATATTTAATTGTGTTGACTGTGTCGTTTAAAAGGAAAGCAGTACGTCATAATGAGAGTTCGCGCTTTACGTTCGACGCCCTTGAGGACGATCCAGCAGCTGCTCTTACCGGAAACTCTCATCAAAAGGCCAACGGTGCGAAAAGTTTTAGACGCCTACCTCACGAAGATGCATCCATCGTCGGTTCTGCAAAAACGCGAAAGAATTGTTGAATGCAAATTTCTTCGGATCGAGGCAGAAGTATGATATTAAAATTATTTACTTTTAAGTTTTTAAGAGCTTATGTAATCATTTACGCACAATTGTTAAACACTGCGTTCTGCGTAAACGTTTCCAGTTTATTTATCGGAAATTTTAGATACTTCAATCTAATAAGTTTTCAAAACTTACTTGAAGATTAATGACGTTTTAATTAACGAATACTTGCAATTGCAAGTAATTTTATGAGTATTCACGTAATGTAGGCGAAAGGAAGATTACAAAGGATGATTACAAAGATTATAGATTATAATTAATGAATGAATAAGTAATGAATATATGTACATACGTGTATTATTTCTAAAGCTAATAATACTTTAGTTTAATAATTATTCGAAACTGTGTCTTTCTCTTGTGATCTTGCACGTTGAAATTTGGAAAATAACGACCGGTTTGTCGTGTCCACTTTAGGATTTGTGAATGGAATTGACGTATCGATAAATGTAATACCAGTATATTTTAGAGAGCGTATTTTCACCGCACTATTATAAGCGATAACGAATCAAAAAGTGGCGTAAAATCAAAAGAGACACTTTACGATCCTCTAGAATGTATTTTCATGTTTGCGTCCTTGAGGATCGATCTCTCGAAACAATGGAACATTATCAGAGTTCCTTGGAAATATCTGTAAATCTTTGGAGATTTCAAAAAAATCTAAGAAGCTTTTCACATCGCGTCCACAAATCTTTTTTGAAGCAAGCTTTTATATATATATATATATATATATATATGTGTGTGTGTATATATATATATATCTATATTATATATATTCTCTCGACTTTGGCAACGCATTTCTGGCATGCATTTTACGCAAAAATTTGAGATGTTAGTAGGAAGAAAAGGAATTGTTAAACGATAATGAAAACACGACGTTTTCCGAAGCTCGTGATCGAGAAAATTGCGCTGGTGGAAATATTATAAATATTAAATACAATGTACAATTAAATAAAAACAATTATTAAATATGTCTATCTGTAATGTAATATTGTATCCTTGTAATAAAACATAAAGTTATTCATGAAATAATAAAATGATTAAGTTCTATAAGATTGTAAAAAAAAATAGAGAAAAAAACAATTTTAAAAAATTGCACATTTTCAAAAGAATGTATTTTTTCCAAAATATATATATTTTTAAATAAATGACCTTTACAATGTTTTTAAATAAGTTTTTAAATAAATTTTGAACTTTTTGTAATGCAATTGTTTAATTATGTAATTTAGGAATTGTGTATTCTTGCATTTCTTGTATTTTTTTTTACTTAATTATTTCTATAGTGATGAACAAATCTGACCTAATTTCATTTTCTCAACTTGTGTTTAAGCTTCTTTCATAAAATTTCTATTAACTTATGTACAAATATTTATTCTTGTCTTCATCGATCGATTCTTCGCAGCGTTTCTAAGTAACAGACTATCGTTTACCTTAGATACGTGCGTCTTTGCAAGGATTAGTCAACCAGAGAATTGTTGCAAAAGAGTGGGAGAATCTTTATAGACTACTAAAGATCCATTCTGATCGATTTATCATCGGAAATCGACGTTATGCCGTTTCAACTCGAAGCGAATGAAAAAACTTGCGACGACAATGAGGTAAAACCATCGATACAAAATGTTTGTTTCGAATTACGTGGCATCATCGGAATTCGCATCGATGTATCAGAATGCCAAGATTTTAGTTTGATAATAGTTCTCTAATAGATTTTATATCAATATTTTTTATCTCCCGAATTATGTAACGATAATCAATAAAAGATTTAAAAACATAAATGTACGTAAATGTAGAACATGATTCCAATATAAATAATATAAAACATAAATATTTTACAACATTATATAGATATAATTATATAATAGATACAACATATACACATATATATATATATATATACATATATATATATATATATATATGTATATGTTCGATCAAAACGGATCTTGATACTTAATAATATTTTTGTGCGATAAAATTTTTAGTTTTCAATAGAAGCAAACTGCGAGCCAATTATTATACATATTTGTCGATTTTGAAACACAGTTTTGGACTGCAGAAGCAACTTGCTTTGTCGCAGGCGCAGAAATATCAAAATAGTTATCGCATGCAGCCGCAGAATCCGTTCAAGATCGATCTGGTAGAAAAGATCGTGAAATCGGTGATGAATAATCGTTTGGACGAGGTCGCCTACGACGATGCGGAGGCCACAAAATTATGCGGCGATATTGCCGCAGAGATACGGCGACGCGTGAAGAAGCTTAACTTCGACAGGTGTGAGACAGATTTGCATCTTGAATGATTTAAAGATGATATTCCTGGGGAAAGGGAAGTTCACAAACGTTTAATTTATAAGTATATGCGTATAATAAGTTTCTACGAGAATTATTAGGAAAAATTAATTTGAAGAAGATTCAAGAAAGATATATAATCAACATAAATTGATTTAAAATTAACTTAAAATTAATTTTAAAAAGATTAAAGAAAGATACATAATCAATATAAATTGATTTAAAATTAACATAATCATTATTCAACGAAATAATGGAAATATATATATATAATTGCCGAGAAATTACTAGAAACGTGATAATTTAAGAAATAGTTCGTCAGTACTGATTTTCAAATAAATTTAAAAAAATTACTATACGTTTTATAGTTAGAAGTTTTACACGAACAAAATAATTGATAAAAAAGAAATTATTTAAAGATTTATAATAAAGTACCAAACAAATTCATCAAGAGTCACAGCTATTATTGATCAGTTATTAGATATTTAGATAATTTTTTCTAATTGTTAATTAATTATGTTATTTCTATTTATATTTCTTATTTAAGTTTTTATTAAAAAATTTTAAATACATGAAATAGATATTAAGTTTCTAGATTCTACCTAGAATTTTTAAATATATTTGACTCGATAAATATTTAGCGATATGATAAATTTCCATGTAGACAATTTACATTTAAAAAACGGTTAGATAAAAACATTAAATAAACGTTATTAAATATACAATTATAAAAATGTCTCGCATAAAAATGATAATTTAAACTTACTTTAAGTAAAAAAAAGTTTAATAAACGTTACAAACATCTCATAAACTTTTTACGTTTATTAAATAGTTTAAAAAAAGAATGAAATTTCAAACGTTTATTTTTCAGTTGATGACGTAGTTTCTAACGTTTATTAAATATATTTTGAATGTAACTGTGTTGCTCGAATGATCATAAAAATTCCTCAGATGTTACAAAAAAATTCCTTCTCTTCCAGGCATAAAATTATTGTCACAGTTACAATAATCGAAAAGGCTAGTCAATCCGTAAAAACCACACTCGGCTTCCTGTGGGACAGCGAGAGAGACAAATACTCTACTTTTTTCTTCGAGGGTCGTACATTTCATGCTCAGTGCAGCGTCTTCAGTGTTTATTATGAATAATATGCCGCGACTTTTGGGATTCATCAATGAACTCTCGATTACAAAAGAAAAAAAATTCATTATGCTAGTAGATAGCAAAGTGTCGCCTTCACAGAATTTTTTGCTTTGCAATTACACGAATAAATCACACATGACTACACGGAATAATCATTATTATTACACACAGAACTGGTTCCATTTATGCAAAGTCTCAGGGAGATGGTCCGCCAATAATATCCAGTTGGAAACAACATTTTTGTCCATCAGTCCGTATCTGTTCGTGCGAGAGTAGATAGTCGCTAGTCTCTTCCAAGGAGAAAAATATTACTTCAGTATAAATATTACTTCGTGATCTAGACAGGTGATATTTTAAGATAATACTCTATTTGAAAATTATTGATGATTATTGCAGTAGACGTTCCTTCAATTTTTTTCCTTTATCTGTGTTTCGGATCTTGGAAACTAATCAGCTGTCATTTTCAAATGTATTCAATTATTGGAAAAAAAAATTGCGTTGAAAAGAGAAAAATTTAATAAAATATATATAAATTTATATATAAGTTTATTTATTCATGAAAATGTGCTAATAATAATCCTAATGATTAATATTTTCAATTTTTTTAAATGAAAACTTGTAAAAAACTTTTTAACATGACAATTTTAATATTGCTGATAACCCTTTCAATAGCTGCTATTAAATCTGTCACTATTTTTGGATAGGGTCTACAATCTTGGATAATAATTAGCATGCTTTATTAGCAAATTTCTCATTAAAATAAACTTATATATAAACATTTTAATATTCTATATTTTATTTATAATAATAAAATTAATTAAATTATACCTATTAAAAATTGCAAGCTTTTCTCCGTTCAGCGCAATTTTTATTTTTTCAATAATTGAATATATTATTATTTAAAAATGACAGCTGATTAGTTTTAACACTTTTTTTTATGTTATTACATTGAGACATTACTTTCTCGCGTTAGATCTATTTGCTTAAAAGACTATTCTTCGCTTTTTTATTTCCAGAAAACGTGATTAAAGTCAGTCAAGTTCACAGTTCTCTCTTTTCTCTTTAAATAACGAGGATTTGCAAGATGTGTGGAAAACTCTGCTTTTCCATTATCATGATATGCCTGGCGGAAAGCGCAGTGTTAGGAAATCCTCTGAGCTGTCATTCCGATAATAGGAGCTTTTATCTTTACACCGGCACTAAAACCCCGTATTCTTACGTTTATAATAATACTGGAGGAACTATGACTCTAACGAGTGAGTATTTATCGCTGTACAACAAGAGGAGCGCTGCTGAATATTCGCAAGGATTTTCTTCTTTCATCAAAAAGACCTAATCGGAATTTTCAGATTGCGAACCGACGCAGGTATGGATGCTGATCAGACATGGAACGCGATATCCTGGCAAGTCTATAATCGCGCAGATCTTGAATCTCACGCACATTCGAGATTATATAATAACAAACAACGTATTCGAAACTTGTGAGTGAGAAGATCCCAAGGTTTTTACATTCTGACTGATAATCATTTGTTGTGTGTCCTTTGAATCCAATTAGAAAATAAAAAGATGCACTATTAGATAAAAGAGCAATGGAATCTTAATAGAAATGGATTGATTTTGACACAGATAAAAATAAAATATAAAAACGTTGATTAACATAAGGGATAGTCCCTTTTTAAAATTTGTTTTCCCACAGGCGCATCTCGATACGAAAAGATGGATCTAAAGAATTGGAAACCCTATCCCGAGTTGGTCCCGGGAAAGGGAAAGCATTTGGCAATACAGGGTGAAAAAGATTTGGCGTCACTCGCCGAAAGAATCAGAGCCAAACTGCCGATGTTATTCGACTGGAACGTGACCAAGAGTTTTAAAGTAATAATTTGAGAAAAGTTCGATTTTTTTATTCGATTTTTGGTTTCTTTTTTTTTGTTATATTCGATTGTAAAATATGATATAAAATATAGTAGAGTAATGTAAAATTAATTAATATAATAAATAAAATTAATCAATGATATAAAATA